TTATAATTCCTTTTGGAATAATTTTCATCTTTCTAACCTCTCTCTCAAACTTCCTTGGCTAAACCACAAGCCTAATAAAAGCTGACACTTGGCTTACTTCTTGCCTGTACCAGTGTAGCTGAATGTGGCTGGAGATAGCACATGTTTACTATCCTCACGTGCATGTTTAGTACTGTTGGACAGTTGTACTATATTTTAGTTCATCTCTTTTCCTCCTACATGTCTTAATTTTATACTGTAGCCTCTCCTCAGACTTCAAACACTTCCTCTCCACTCCTCACTCTCAGCTGTTCTTTGCTCTTTCTCTGAGAAAATTGAGTTAATCAGAAGACAGCTTCCACAACATCTGTGCCCATCTACTCTGCTTTCTTTTGTTACTCTTGCTGAACTATCCATGCTTCTGGCCAAAGGGGTGCCTTTCCATCTGTGCATTATATCCCATCTGCTCTTCTTAGCAATTCTCCCCTCTCTTGCTTCATCAGTTTTAACTTTCTACTGGATCATTCCTAGAGCATACGTAGCCTGTATTTGCATTCTCTAGCTTCTCTTTTCCCATTCTTTGTTGAGCTGACTCCATTCAGACATATTATGCCAGTACTTCAGAACTGTCCTTGTCAAAGTCACTAGTTATCACTACATTACTACATTTAAGGAATCATTTTCATTTCTCACCTTGACTCTCAGTAGCACTTGACCTAATTCATTACTTTCTCCTTCCTACAGCCCTTTCTTCAATTGGCCTCTAAGACACTATACTAGCCTAGATTTCATCTTACATCTCTGGCCATTTGTTCTGTTATCTTTGCTGGTTATTCCTTATCTCCCCAACCTAGAGATATTGGAGTGTCCAGGGCCTGATCATTTGGCTTCTTCACTTATCTGTCTGCACTCATTTCCTTGGTAACCTCATCCAGTATTATGGCCTTATATACCATCTGTTTGTTCATAATTTTCTCCATCTAATACCTGAACTCTAAACTCATATATCCAACTACTTGCTTTACATCTAATAGAAACTCAAACCTAACATTTTCCAAACTGAGTTCCTGATACTTACTTCAAACTCACTCTTCCTGTAGTCTTTCCCCATCTCAATTAATAGCCCTCAGTTCTTCTGCTAGCTCAGGTTAAAAGCCTTAAGTTATTCTTGACTATTCGAAGACTATAAATAGGTATCTTGGTTCCTTTTTTGTGCCATCCTTAAGTTTTATTTAAAATGAGTTTGTTTGGATTTCTTCATTAGCTTGAAAAGTTGTAGTTTATTTCTGTTCCTGGCTGGCTAGTTTATAAGAGAAAGTAAGTTACATGATACTAAGTGGCACGTTTGTATTATTCCCAACCAGTAGTCATAAACGTTTCTGCTTTTCCTAGGCTCATTCATGGACATTGCTTCTACAAATACAAGTAATAAAAGTGACACTAATATGGAGCAAGTTCCTGCCACAAATGATACTATCAAGCGCTTAGAATCAAAATTGTTGAAAAATCAGGCAAAACAACAGGTCGGTTATGTTATTATAAGTAAAATTGTTTGGTAACCTTACCAGTAGTCACAATATTATAGGGACTGTAATTATTTACCATCTTCTATTTTATAAATCCTGAATATTCTTCTTGAAACATACAGATGAGCTTACAAATAGAGACATGAATGAGATTCTCCTACCATTTATTACCAAATTGTTTTTCCCTCTAATGATTGCTACCTTTGCCAACTCTAACTCCCTCTGTGTAATAATCCCTAAATGTAATGGTTGATGGTTAAAAATGTTAAATGGGTATATTTTGGCTGCTATATGTAGTTAGAGGAGTTTTCCTAAGTCTATCATTTCCTGCTGTTCAATTTATTATATTTTTGCCATTGTTAATTTTAAAAATATTTCAAGGAGTGAGTTTATTCATTTTGCCTGAGGCATTTAGGTTAACAAATAATTGGGGCTTTTAGCTCCCAGTTCTAGTGGCTGCCCTTTCATAAAGGCAGTATGTGCAGCTTGCTTTCCCTTACCGCAGCAGGTCCCTCTCATGCAAACTTCCCTCTCCTTTCAGAGCAGAACAGAATCCATCAGAGTCCCACTTGGCATATTCCTCCTTTTAGGTTGCCTAAGATTGCTAAATCTAAAGAACTTCAGTAATTCAGATTGACCTGTAATTTTAACAGAGTGAATCTGGACGTTTAAGCTTGGGAGCCTCCCGTGGGAGCAGCGTAGAGAGCTTGCCACCAACCTCTGAGGGCAAGAGGATGAGTGCTGACATGTCTGAAATAGAAGCTAGGATTGCTGCAACCACAGGTAAAAAGGAACCACAAGTCTAAAGAGTGAAAATGTATATAAGCCTTTTTGGCATGGTAGTTTCAGTTGTCAGAGGTTTTTGTGCCTGTCTTACATTTTTTTAAAAAGCAGGAAGCAGGTTTGCAATATAGTCTCCTAAGTTTCTAGCAGTAATTTACGCATTTATCTCAAATTCCAAATAAGGAAGGTACGACTTGTAAAATTATTTGGATTAGAAAGTATACCTTCCTCATAAAATTGTATCAAATATAATTATTTCTGCTCAAGCATGAGTAGAAAATCTAAGTGAGAAATTGAAATTCTGCCAAACCAGAATATTTTGGAGATTTTGAGTGATACTACTAGATTTTTGTGCTGAATTCAAATAATAGTAAATATTTTATTTTCAATTTAGCAGAAAAATGTAGTCTAGATCCATGTATGATTTGACCTTCTGTCTGCTCCTTCACTCCAGTAGCAAAAAAAAAAAAAAAAACAGCTAAGCTGGTTGTGGTTAATTTTTTTAAATTGTAAAATAAGAGATCATAATTTTATTGGATCTTGAAAAAGCTAGCATTTAAATTCCATTTTTCAGTTCTTAAAACTATTAATCATGGAAGAACTGGTCAGCACAAAAACAATTACATGTTTTGTTACCTAAGTAAACTGACAACCTTCTTTTCTGACCAGGTTTCACTTTAGTAATGCTGGTTTAATTTGGACTTTGTTAGTTTTTTGCTGATTCTTTACAGGGATGGAGGGAAGCTGATTATAAAAGTAAACACATTTCTGTTTTGGAAAATGTGGAAATGTAAACAAGCCAAAAAAATGTACATAATTACCCCACTCAGAGAAAAACACTTAACATTTTTGTGTATTTACCCCTAATCTTTTAACTATATATGTGTATAAATGTCTATTTCCATGTGTATTTGCATATTTTTTAACTTAGCTCACCACTTTTTTAGGTCTTTTTTTCATTTATTTGGTTTTTTTCTAAATAGAATATTCTCATTGTGTGTGGAGCTCATTTCAGAAAGAAGTTGTCAAAATGGACCATCATACTATACTTGTCTTCAACTAATCAAGATCATTGATTTTATCAGCTAGAATTAGAATCCATTAGCTATAACAAAATATCCAAAATAATAGTGTCTATAACACATAAGCATTATTTTTCACACATAAACAAGTCTGGAGGTAGTGGGCTCTGTGATCTTCAGGTAGCTGGTCTACTATTTCTGTGCCATAATCCCTGTTGTGTAGCTTCCATTCTCAGAGTTATCCTGTGGGTCCATAATGGCTGTTAAAGTTCTATTTCATCACTTCTACATTCCAGGCAGCAGGAGAGAAGACATGAGGGTAGGGCAAATGGGCATCCAAGTTCTTTGAAGGAGCATTCCCAGACATCTCTCCTAACTACGTCCACATGTCATTGGTCAGAGTAACATGGTGGAATGGCTACACATAGCTCCAAGGGAGGAGGATATCTGCCATCTTTTCTCTGACAACTTTTCTGTCCCAAATAAGAGTACTGTTGCTAAAACAGAAGGGAAGAATAGAGACTGGCAGAAGATAGCTGTGTCTGCCACAGATGGATCTTCAGAAACTATCAAGTTGAGTAGAAGTCACCAGCCACTTACAGGCCCATGAGTCTCCATGAGTCACAAGCATTTCTTTGGAACAGGGTTGTCTCAAGTGTAGTGTCAGATGAACCCAACTCACAGGGACATACCTTCATGCTTTGAGGAACCCTTTTCACTTCAAGGATATTTTTCATGATAGATCTGCCACATACTAATTGCTGTGTCAAAACTGAAACTTGTTATAATAATGGTTTCATGTCTTTGCTCATATCATATTTCTAGTCAAGCATTTTTTTAAATTATTATTTATAGAAATGAGGTTTTGCTAGGATAACAACATACATTGAAATTACCCTATCTTTGTTGCCTAAATGTAGAACAAATGCTGTTGTACGGCCTTTGAGTTTTACACAATTTAAATTTTTTCATGAATTGTCTTACTTGGAAAGATTCATATTTTCCAGCCTTTCGGCAGACTTTGTGTTTACTGTGAATGTACCCTAAACTTTGGAAAATATAGTAAATATTTTGTTTAATAGAAATATGTATAACTACAAAAGCATATACATTTCACACTTTGATTCAATAATTATTTAATAATTGAATTTTACTTTATAGCATACTTCAAGAAACACCTAACTTGAACATATATTCCTATGTTTAATTAAAACAAATATGGCGACTTTTTAACGCCTTTCTTCCTTTCCTCCGTCATCCCCCCACCCCTATCACATGACAGTGATTTCACTTAGGTAGACTGTTTCTATGAATATATTTGAAATTTTGCTTCCTCGTTACCCTGCAGCTTTGTCTCCGTTCTTTTTATTTTTTTTCTGCTAATTAAAACCAGTGTGTAAAACATCTTGTATTTGGTAGTTGTTTGCTCTTTAATCTTGCCTTTTCTGAGCATGGATGAAAAGTTAGGTAGTTCTGCATGCCATTCTGCATGAAATGTTATTAACCTAAACTATTTGAAATGAGTCTATTTTTGTAGTTAATCATTTTCTGTGTTACCATTTGTGGTTGTTTGCATGTATACTGTATATATGTGTTTTTGCAGCCTATTCCAAGCCTAAACGGGGCCACCGTAAAACAGCTTCATTTGGCAACATTCTGGATGTCCCTGAGATCATCATATCAGGTATCATAGACCACCTGAGTTGGTCTAATAGCTGTGGAACCGGAATAATGATCCCTGGTACTTGTAAATGCTTCTTGCTCCAATTTTTACAAGACATGAAAATAGATGCCTTGCATGCAGTAATTAGACAGATTGAAAAACTACATTTATTCTAAAGCAGTCTTGAAAAGATACCTCTGATCTGCAATAAATGAGGATAAAATAGAAGCAAAAGTAAACCTGTTTGCAGAAGAGAGAACACTAACCCAGAATTCTGCCAACTTCCTCTCTACTTTTAAGTGAGCACATGAGCTAAACTCAGACCTTTTTTTGCACCCAACAAAAAGAGAAAACAACTAATTAAAATTTGTTATTTTCCTTGACTCCTTTCCTTCCTCAGTTAACTGCTTTTTGGGTTCCCTCTAGACTTTCTATCCCAGCCTCTTCCTGTTGGAAGCAAGTGAATATGAAGTTGAGAGAAGAAAGTAGCTACATATCATTTTGCCTTTACCTTGAAAACAAAAAGTCAACTAAATGAGATATGCTGTTTTGCAGGGTATCTTGCCAAAGAATCATGTAAAATAAATGGTCAATTCTAATTTTTGTGTATTATCAGGAAAATCTTATAAATTACATGTTTTTATACCTAACTTGCACATGGTACTTTAGTGTCTAAAATTGGTAAACTGCATTATTTTTTATGGTGATCATTTTATTGATGAATGTTACCATTTTTACTAGAAACTTAAATGGCATATTGACCTTCATTGTTGATTAATATGTGTTATCAAACTGATAGTTTATTTATCCCTCTGCTTTAGGTTTTCCTCTACCTCTTTACCCAAAATCTTGATAAGGAAATACATATTTTCCACACACATTCATGAGTGTGAGTTGGATGAATTTTTTAGCACACTCTCTTTTGCCTGATTGTGCTTTTAGCAGTGTTTATATTGTAATTGAATACTTACTGGTTATTTTCTCCTCTACTAAACTGAAAACTGTGAGGATAAAAACCGTATCTTTGGGCATTATTTTTTTTGTTGGTGATGGTTATTGATTGTATCAGCAGTTGCTGGCTCAGTGCTTCACATATTAAGCACATTAACATAGTGTTTATAAATATGTTAAATAAATGAACAGACTATTGAGCATCTCTACTGGCGAGGAACTAGCATACAAAAATAAGAATTATACAATTCTTAGGTGCCATTTTGTCTGTAAGAAACTAATTTTTCCTTGGTTATGAAAGTGGTTCCTTATTTTACAACATCATCACTATTGCTACTCAATTCAGAATAGAGTTAGTTCATTTTTCACATGGTAATTTTTATTTATTGAATCTGGACTGCTTTAAAAATTAACAAAGTACTTGAGATCATTTTGCCTCCATGCTGAAAGGTACTGTGTATAAGGAACTAATGCTTTAAAGAAGTGGAAGCATTTAAACTTACATACTGCTGAATTGTAATTCCCTTAAATGTTTGAGGGAATCAGGAAAATTTAGACAGATGACAGTATAATCTTATGACTAAGCATTAAGAATAGATTATATATGGCAGTATAGCCAATACTATACAAGATAATTGGGGGAGGGAGAAATAAGGAAAGAATAATAATTTACAACTGTCAGGTCCTGCTGGCATCTAGTGGGCAGAGGCCAGGGATGCTGCTAAACATGCTGATGTGTACGAGGCAGTCTCCACCAACAAAGAATGATCCAGCCCAAAATGTCAACAGTGCTGAGGCTGAAAACCCCTGATTAGATGGGTTTTGTTTTTTTTTTGTTTGTTTGTTTGTTTGTTTTAAGACGGAGTCTTGCTCTGTCACCAGGCTGGAGTGCAACGGCGCGATCTCAGCTCACTGCAACCTCCACGTCTTTATGGCCTACAAAGTAGCTTAAACTGCATCTTATTTTACCATCATGACAACCTTATAACTAGATTATGAGATGGAATCATAGCTGTTTAACAGATGAAGAACTTAGATCTGATGATGTTTGGTCATTTTTCCAGAATCATATAGCCAGGGCCCCAACCCAGATCTTCTGACTCCACATCACATCCATTCTTTGTTCTTTTGTTTAAGTCAGAGAAGCTAGAGTAATTTCTTCTTGCTTTCTCTTAGTGTTCACATTAAGGAGAGCTCTTCATCCAGGGAGATCCTCTTTTATGACATTGGGCCTTTATGGAATCAGGTAACCTTAATTCTCTTAATTGCCAGAGCAGCAGTGCTATTCAGATGAAAATATTATTCAGTAATATATTTTATTAAATATTCTTTTTAGGCTTTTTCTCCCCAGATATCAAATATTAACTTAATCAGTTGCACTTCCTTTAATGCAAGAATACAAGCTGTGGAATTGACGCTAGTGGACATAAAAGTCAATCACGAATGTGCTCATAGGTAATATTTTTAAATTAAATATAAAAATACAACCTACCCTTTGGGAATATCTCAAATTTGCTACATGTCATTTTAACTATAAAGGAGGACGATCTAATTTTCAAAACTTCTTAATACTTTCTAGAATTCCTTTGTTCTAAGTGGATTTCACATAAGCTTTATGGTATTAGCAAATTCTTCTTGATATCATCAAAGTGTGTTTCATTAGCATTGAAACCCAATTGTAAGCATTTTTTTTTAAATATAGCTTTTTTAAAATCTTATTTATATGGATAAGTAGTTTCAATAATACTTCCTTTTGGCCAAGTGCAATATACTGAGTCTAATGGACTTCTTGGAATGAACTACTTCTCTTAATAAGAGCATTCCTTCAAGCATCACAAAAAAGTTTTATATATGCATCTTTATAGTCACTAAAATGTCTAACCTGGTCATAGATAAAGAAATGCAAAGACCCTAATCTTGTAATCCTGTTTTTTGCGTGCTCTTCAAAATTTGTATACAATGCAATCAGTCAAATGTGGAAGAAAAAGCAACTTAGCTAACAGCAATATTTGTCAATTTAGTAGTCTCTCAGGTCATATAGAAATTCACCTTTAATATTTTAAGACTCCCTGTAGGTCAGACTGTATAATTTTTATACCTCTTCTACCTTATTCCTGGCTCTGAAGAAGTATTGGGAAACTTGTATAGTAACCCCTTCTTATTCTTTCCACTGTCCATTTGCCCTTAAGAGAGTGAGCTATACCAGGGCAAAAAACGCAACTAAGAGCAAATTGGTAGAATATGTGACATTTTGCTGACTCTTCCTTTGCAGAGAAGGTCCTGCCAAATAGTGTGTTTCCTAAGCAAAGTAAATGTAAATATGGAAGTTTCTTGCCCAGTTTTTAGACCATTTGACCTACAGTTTTCTTTTTTTCTTAATATATATATTTTACTGCATTTTAGGTTTGGGTGTACGTGTGAAAAACATGCAATATTGTTGCATAGATACATACATGGCAATGTGGTTTGCTGCCTTCCTCCCCATCACCTATATCTGGCATTTCTCCCCATGTTATCCCTCCCCAACTCCCCACCTCCCACTCTTCCTCCCTTAGTTCCCCCCATCACAGACCCCAGTGTGTGATGTTCCCCTCCCTGTGTTCATGTGTTGCCATTGTTCAACACCCACCTGTGAGTAAGAACATGTGTTTGATTTTCTGCTCTTGTGTCAGTTTGCTGAGAATGATGGTTTTCAGGTTCATCCATGTCCCTACAAAGGACACGGACTCATCGTTTTTGATGGCTGCATAGTATTCCATGGTGTATATGTGCCACATTTTCCCTGTCCAGTCTATCATCGATGGGCATTTGGGTTGGTTCCAACTCTTTGCTGTTGTAAACAGTGGTGCAAAGAACATTCGTGTGTGTGTGTCCTTATAATAGAACGATTTATAATCCTTTGGATATATACCCAGTAATGGGATTGCTGGGTCAAATGGAATTTCTATGTCGAGGTCCGTGAGGAATCGCCACACTGTCTTCCACAATGGTTGAACTAATTTACACTCCCACCAACAGTGTAAAAGTGTTCCTATTTCTCCACATCCTCTCCAGCATCTGTTGTCTCCAGATTTTTTAATGATCGCCATTCTAATTGGTGAGAGATGGTATCTCAATGTAGTTTTGATTTGCATTTCTCTAATGACCACTGATGAGCATTTTTTCATATGTTTGTTGGCCTCATATATGTCTTCTTTTGTAAAGTGTCTGTTCATATCCTTCACCCACTTTTGAATGGGCTTGTTTTTTTCTTATAAATCTGTTTTACTTCATTGTTGATTCTGGATATTAGCCGTTTCTCAGATGGGTAGATTGGAAAGAAATTTTTCCCATTCTGTCGGTTGCAGTTCACTCTAATGATTGCTTCTTCTGCTGTGCAGAAGCTCTGGAGTTTAATTAGGTCCCATATGTGTATTTTGGCTTTTGTTGCCAATGCTTTTGGTGTTTCAGTCATGAAGTCCTTGCCTATGCCTATGTCCTGAATGGTTTTGCCTAGGTTTTCTTCTCGGATTTTTATGGTGTTAGGTCTCATATTTAAGTCTTTAATCCATCTGGAGTTAATTTTAGTGCAAGGTGTCAGGAAGGGGTCCAGTTTCTGCTTTCTGCACATGGCTAGCCAGTTTTCCCAACACCATTTATTAAACAGGGAATCCTTTCCCCATTGCTTGTTTTAATCAGGTTTGTCAAAGATCAGATGGCTGTAGATGTGCGGTGTTGCCTTCGAGGCCTCTGTTCTGTTCCATTGGTCTGTATCTCTGTTTTGGTACCAGTACCATGCTGTTTTGATTACTGTAGCCTTGTAGTATAGTTTGAAGTCCGGTAGTGTGATGCCTCCAGCTTTGTTCTTTTCGCTTACAATTGACTTGGCTATGCGGGCTCTCTTTTGGTTCCATATAAAGTTTAAAGTGGTTTTTTCCAGTTCTGTGAAGAAGGTCATTGGTAGCTTGATGGGGATAGTGTTGAATCTGTAAATTACTTTGGGCAGTATGGCCATTTTCACGATATTGATTCTTCCTAACCATTAGCATGGAATATTTCTCCATCTGTTTGTTTCCTCTTTTATTTCTTTGAGCAATGGTTTGTAGTTCTCCTTGAAGAGGTCCTTTACATTCTTTGTTAGTTGTGTTCCTAGGTATTTTATTCTCTTTGTAGCAATTGTGAATGGCAGTTCATTCTTGATTTGGCTCTCTTTAAGTCTGTTATTGGTATATAGGAATGCTTGTGATTTTTGCACATTGATTTTGTATCCTGAGACTCTGCTGAAGTTGCTTATCAGTTTCAGGAGATTTTGGGCTGAGACGATGGAGTCTTCTAAATATACAATCATGTCATCTGTAAATAGAGACAATTTGACTTTCTCCTTTCCTAATTGAATACCCTTTATTTCTTTTTCTTGCCTGATTGCTCTGGCTAGAACTTCCAATACTGTATTGAATAGGAGTGGTGAGAGAGGGCATCCTTGTCTAATGCCAGATTTCAAAGAGAATGCTTCCAGTTTTTGCCCATTCAGTATGATATTGGCTGTGGGTTCATCATAAATAGTTTTAAAATTTTTGAGATACGTTCCATCGATACCTAGTTTGTTGAGGGTTTTTGTCATAAAGGGCTGTTGAATTTTGTTCAAAGGCCTTCTCTGCATCTATTGAGATAATCATGTGTTTTTTGTCTTTGGTTCTGTTTATGTGGTGAATTACATTTATAGACTTGCGTATGTTAAACCAGCCTTGTATCCCTGGGATGAAGCCTACTTGATCGTGTTAGGTAAGCTTTTTGATGTGCTGTTGCAGTCGGTTTCCCAGTATTTTATTGAAGATTTTTGCATCTGTGTTCATCATGATAATTGGCCTAAAGTTTTCTCTTTTTGTTGAGTCTCTGCCAGGTTTTGGTATCAGGATGATGCTGGTCTCATAAAATGATTTGGGAAGGATTCCCTCTTTTTGGATTGTTTGGAATAGTTTCAGAAGGAGTGGTACCAGCTCCTCTTTGTATATTTGGCAGAATTCGACTGTGAACCCATCGGAACCTGGGGTTTTTTTGGTAGGTAGGCTATTAATTGCTGCCTCAACTTCAGCCCTTGTTATTGGTCTATTCAGGGTTTTGACTTCTTCCTGGTTTAGGCTTGGGAGGATGCAAGTGTGCAGGAATTTATCCATTTCTTCCAGGTTTACTGGTTTATGTGCATAGAGTTGTTTGTAGTCATCTCTGATGGTGGTTTGTATTTCTGTGGAATGGGTGGTGATAGCCCCTTTATCGTTTTTTATTGCATCTATTTGATTCTTCTCTCTTTTCTTTTTTATTAATCTCACTAGTCGCCTATTTTGTTGTTCTTTTCAAAAAAGCTCCTGGATTTATTGATTTTTTTTGAAGGGTTTTTTGTGTCTCTATCTCCTTCAGTTCTGCTCTGATCTTAGTTATTTCTTGTCTTCTGCTAGGATTTGAGTTTTTTGGATCTTGCTCCTCTAGCTCTTTCAATTTTGACGATAGGGTGTCGATTTTAGATCTTTCCTTGCTTCTCAATGTGATCATTTATTGCTATATATTTTCCTCTAGACACTGCTTCAGATGTGTCCCAGACATTCTCGTATGTTGTCTTATTCTCATTGGTTTCGAAGAATATCTTTATTCCTGCCTTCATTTCATTGTTTATCCAGTCAACATTCAAGAGCTATTTGTTAAGTTTCCATGAAGCTGTGCAGTTCTGAGTTGGTTTCTTAATTCTAAGTTCTAACTTGATTGCACTGTGGTCTGAGAGACTGTTTATTATGATTTCTGTTCTTTTGCATTTGCTGAGGAGTGCTTTGCTTCCAATTATGTGGTCAGTTTTAGAGTAGGTGTGATGTGGTGCTGAGAAGAATGTATATTCTGTGGATTTGGGGTGGAGAGTTCTGTAAATATCTATTAGGTTTCCTTAGTCCAGGTCTGAGTTCAAGTCCTGGATATCCTTTAATTTTCTGTCTCGTTGATCTATCTAATATTAACAGTGGACTGTTAAAGTCTCCTGCTATTATTGTGTGGGAGGCTAAGTCTCTTTGTATGTCGTTACAAACTTGCTTTATGTATCTGGGTGCTCCTGTATGGGTGTGTCTATATTTAGGATCGTTAGCTCTTCTTGTTGCATTGATCCTTTTACCATTGTGTAATGTCCTTCTTTGTCTCTTTTGATTTTTTTTTGTTTAAAGTCTTTTTTATCAGGCGGGCTAGGATTGCCCTGCTTTTTTTTTTTTTTTTTTTTGCTCTCCATTTGCTTGGTAAATCTTCCTCCATCCCTTTATTTTGAGCCTATGTGTATCCTTGCATGTGAGATGGGTTTCTTGGATACAGCACACCAGTCGGTTTTGGTTTTTTATCCAATTTGCCAATCTGTGTCTTTTGATTGGAGCATTTAGTCCATTTACATTTAGGGTTAATTTAATTTAGGGTTAATATTGTTACATGTGAATTTGATCCTGCTGTTTTGATGCTAACTGGTTGTTTTGCCTGTTAGTTGATGCTGTTTCTTCATTGTGTCGATGCTTTTTACCATTTGGTATGTTTTTGGAGTGGCTGTATTTATTCCTTTCTATGTTTAGGGCTTCTTTCAGGAGCTCTGGTAAAGCAGGCCTGGTGGTGATGAATTCTCTGAGTAATTGCTGGTTCGTAAAGGATTTTATTTCTCCTTCGCTTTTAAAACTTAGCTTGGCTGGATATGAAATCCTAGGTTTAAAGTTCTTTTCTTTAAGGATGTTGAATATTGGCCCCCACTCTCTTCTGGCTTGTAGGGTTTCTGCTGAGAGATCCACTGTGAGTCTGATGGGCTTTCCTTTGTGGGTGACCTGACCTTCCTCTCTGGCTGCCCTTAGCATTTTCTCCCTCATTTCAGCTCTGGTGAATCTGATGATTATGTGCCTTGGGGTTGCTCTTCTTGAGGAATATCTTTGTGGTGTTTTCTGTATTTCCTGGAGTTGAATACTGGCCTGCCTTGCTAGTTTGGTAAAGTTTTCCTGGATAATATCCTGAAGAGTGTTTTCCAGCTTGGATTCATTCTCTCTGTCACATTCAGGTACACCTATCAAACGTAGATTAGGTCTTTTCACATAATCCCATATTTCTTGGAGGCTTTGTTTGTTTCTTTTTTCTCTAATTTTGCCTTCTCGTTTTATTTCATTGAGTTGATCTTCTACCTCTTATATCCTTCTGCTTGGTCAGTTCGTCTACTGAAATTTGTGTATGCTTCACGAATTTCTTGTGCTGCATTTTTCAGCTCCATCAAGTGGTTTATATTCTTCTCTAACCTGTTTATTCTCGTTAGCATTTCTTCAAACCTTTTTTCAAGGTTCTTAGTTTCTTTGCATTGGATTAGAACATGTTCTTTTAGCTCAGAGACATTTCTTATTACCCACCCTCTGAAGCCTGTTTCTGTCAATTCACCAGACTCATTCTTCATCCAGCCTTGTTCCTGTACTGGTGAGGAGTTGTGATCTCTTGGAGGAGGCCAGGTGTTCTGGTTTTGGGTGTTTTCATCCATTTTGCGCTGGTTTCTTCCCATCTTCTTGGATTTATTTACCTGTGGTCTTTGTAGTTGGTAACTTTCAGATGGGGTCTCTGAGTGGACATCCTGTTTGTTGATGATGAAGTTACTTCTTTCTGTTTCTTAGTTTTC